CCCGACTTTGCATTTCTCGGTGCCTCCTATCTCTATGACTGGGCCCTCAACTTTCGCGAGGTCGTCTCGTTTCAAGGCGACGTGACTTCGTACACGCTCCTCTCTGGCTTGTACGCTCCGGTGGTCGCTGACCTGATCGTGCCACCGGCGGCGTTCGGGCCCTACCTCTGGCTCTCGGCGTCGATCACCACTAGCACTTTGGCCATCGTAGGTCTTACAGTGTTGTCGCTTCGCTGCTGCAGCGGCAGGGTGGAGCCTGCGTGGACGAGCTTTACACCGCTAGTCGCGTCGGTCTATATGAATCGGAACATTCTGCTCTTCCGCAGCGCAGCGGCCATCTTGTGCCTCGCCACAGTCCCACTGGATATGACACCATCCAGCGGGCTGAACCGTCTCGTGGCAGAGCGGCGGTCATTGCTGCTCTCGAGTATCTTGGCTCTCGAGTCTCTCTGGCTCGTGCATGTGATTCATGATATGCTTTTGCCGCTCGCTGCTACTTGGCGACAATTTCCAATGGCGTGCATCGTCTGGCTCGTCATCGTGCTCTTGGACCAATGCGCTCCGCTGGATCTCTCTGTGACACTGCATCGTCAGTGCTACGCTGTCAATATGGACTATATGACGTATTGCTCCAGCGGTACGGTTCGTGTCGGCCACTGGGACCGGTGTATGCTCCTTCTGAGCATCCTGGGGTCGGTGGTGGCAGCCTCGCTGGTCTCGAGACATCGTGTCTCAGCCAACATGGCCCCGAAACGCCCGAGCGCTATCTTCCCACCGAGAGCTCCGTCGACACTGACAGCGTCACCGACGACGCGACCGATGGTAGTGATTGACGCTATCATGTGCGGCATCGTGCCGCTGCGATGGCACGGTACGCAGTACTTGTTTGATCTTAAGGTCTGGCTCTGGCTCCGTGTCGATGAATTGGAGACCACGGACAAGCCGTCGCCCATTCTACCGTTTAGCGCACCGACCCTGCCCACGCAGACGACGCAACCAAATTGGGACTGGCCAAGCTTACTTGGTATGCGCTCGGTGCAGCGCCTCTTAGGCCTCTTGGGGATAGTCTACACTGGCATCACTCTCTGGAGTAATACCACGTATTTGAATGTATTGGAGACGGCGCTGGCCAACGACTATGGCTGGGCCGGCTTCAACGCTACTGGTATGCACGCCTTCCTTGCCAACACCTTCAACCGCCAGCTTCTCACGTCCACTGACGCTTCGATTGCACTGCACGGCCCAGCGTTTGGGGACCCACTGCAGTCGTACAACTCGTCGGCCACCTCCGTTGCGTGGTATCCCACGGTGGCGCGCCGGTACCTCTTCAATGCGTCGGCGCCGTTGCACGAGCTGGTGGCTGGTCTCCGGGCCATGCATCCGTGTCAAATGCCGTGGATGTTTACGCAGTACTGCTGGCTTGACCTGGATCGGACGTGGGAGATGGCCAGCACGAGCCAGCGACAGGCTCGGTGCGCAGCTCTCAGTCAGCACAACGGAGCCCGGTACCTCGAGACGAGTCTGCGCAATCTACAAGACTGGACGGTATGGCGATCGTGCTGGGGCACCTCGTTCGACATTGGCATTGGCAACGATTTGGCAGCGTCCGTACCAGGTCGTCTGTGGCTGCAGCATGTCCAGACAAATACTCTGTCCGTACCAGAAGAAGTCGAGTACTGGGCGAGCCATGACATCTCGGTATTCTTGTTGCAGTGGCAAAA